ACGAAAAGTCGTGGGTCAACTTTATTTAAATTTTACAACAACAGCACGCAGTTAACCATGGATTAGTAGGTTGTTTAATAATTGCTGATGAAAGAGAAGAACACTATCTGATATGTTTAGATGTGTAGAACAATAGTGGTGTTAGAAGTGTATTGACAAAAGCGTGAAGATTGTTAAACAGGATTTTTTTACAAAAAAAGTTGGTCATGGTTGTCAGAATAGTATTTCAACCTGAAGACAAATATGATTGCAACATAGTGTACTTTTCATCAGTGGTAACTTAAAGCTAGACCTGTATGTTTCCTTATCTTGTTTATTATAGTGCTTGGCTTTGACTTTGTTGATTGAAAGTTAGATAGGATATTTAAAGCTTTGCATACTTTGCGTACTTTCATGAATTTAGAAGCATATTTGAAAGGAAGGCGAAAAGATTAAAATGATTTAGAAGAATCTTGGATCTTATGCTTTCGTTGGCTTATAAGCACTGATATGAATCTAATACATATAGCATCTATCTTTCAAGGCCACTTATAAGTTTCTATCAACTATTGAAAATCTTTAGCGTTTTTACTAAGTTTCGTTCAAAAGCATATAAAACTGACTAAGATAAAGCATTATTATGATAGTAGTTGTCTTGGTGAGGGCTTTGTCAAAAGTTCAATAAAGAGAGAAAAAAATGAGTTTGCTATTTCACGGTCAGTCCCGGATGCGTTATTTGCTTCTATTATCTAGTTGCATATGAAATTTTTGTAGTTTCAAAGTTGCGTAGGCTTTGCGCATTTACTGTTAATCACTCCTAAGTGTCTAGCAGCACTATTCTTCGCAGGCAGTGCAAATTTCAACGACGTCCAAAAATTGACAATCGGTTATAACAACGAATGCTATAGCATTTACGTAGTTATTCATCAAATTTTTCAATTCCAATGACCTAAATGTTCTAGCAATCGTATAAGAGAATCCATGAGAAAAAGAGATAATGAGAGAATTTGAAATCTGTTTAGTCGACAGCAATCTACGAAATTAAAGGCGCTTGAAGCAGATTTGTAAATACACAAATAAAATTTAAAATAACATTGAAAACCCTAGGGAATCTGTCAGCCAATACTCTGGCAACCTCCACTATTAAAGATCTATGAGAAATCATTGCCTTCAAACTTGAAATGCTATAGCAATGACGCGAATGTTTTCACGAAAACGTTACGCAGAAAAAGTAAGATTTTCCTGCAAATGGCGTCTGACACGTGGGATTATTCCTATTTAAAGTTCCAAGAAATTGGATTGTGTGCATATTAATGAGATAATTGATCCACTTGCGTATAGTTTGGCACTTTAACAGGTAGGTTATACTTATGTGAAGCGGAGTCAAACTTTTGAATGCAAATTTGAGTCTCTAGAACTAACCAAAATAGTGTTTTGTTTTTTGATCTTTTAAGTGACGAAAGAGGATCTTTGTTCAATAGACGAATAAATTTAATTAGCAAGAAATCTCTACTTAACTATGATGTAATTAATTAATATAACAGAGTTGCATAGTAATGAAGAAACCTTTAAAAAATTCCAAACTTTTTTGAATAACATATTAAACCCAAGAAAATAATGGAAAAAAAAAAAAATTAATTGGATTATTAGTAACGGCTGTCAGTCTGTTAAGTAAGCCAGAAAATTTGCTAGTAATTGTAAGCAACGAAGGTGTTAGAAAGCGATTAAACTTCTACACCGTAGCAGTTGGCGTCTTACGGCCATTAAGTAACACGCAAAAATGTAACAATGTAAACCGCTGCTATATAAAGTTTTATTCCACTTCACATAGACACACATCTCCTGTCAATAATTTAACAGAAGCCTGGCTAAGAGATTAAAAAGAAGAAAAAAAGCAAGGTGGGAGAAATTATACCAATCATAGCGTGGAATAGATTCAGTAGCAGATACAAAGGACTTGCATTAAGGCGGAAATGAAGAAAAAAAGGACAACAAAAACTAATGGAACAGCTGCCAGCATTTTTAGATCGTGTTGTCGAGATGTTAACAATATTCTTAAATCTTTTTTCCCCACCTTCCGTTCAATAAAATATAAAAAAGGGAAAAACGAAAGAACAACGAATGAAGAGGAAATGAAACAAAAATCGCAAAAAAAAAAATATAAGAGATAAACTATGTTGTATAAAAGTAAGGCTAAAATAATTACAATAAAAAAAAAAAGGGAAATTAACAGAAAAGAAAAATAGAAAACTTACGCAATTAAACAGAATTTTTTTCCTTTTCTCCCTTTTGTAGAAAAAACGTTGTAAGTTGAATGCGTACATGAATTGTAAATTAATTAAGTTTGTTTGGCGGTTAAGGAGGAAAATTGCTATTCAATATAATTCCTCATCATCATGTAAAACTTGAATGTTCGCTAGGCAGCCGTTAATGTTGCTGTCAAAAGAATTTTTAACTATTAAGAAGCTTAAGCGGCAAAAGAACAGAAACTTCTTTAACAAGTTCTTAATGACGTTCGAAAACAGAAAAAAAGTAGCATAAGGTAGCAATTTAGAGAAAGTCTTGAAAATATTCTCTTGTCGCTTAACGCGTTTCTAAGGGAATAAGTTTATGTGTTAGTTACACTTTGTCAATCACGAGTTGAGTGCAGCGTAGCATGCCTCATAATAAGTTAAGAAGAAAAAATGACGATAAGACAAATTGTCGCTCAATTTATCAGGTATATTATTTGTATTCCCTTTTAATGTTCGAATGAGAAATAAAATATTCTTTATTACTAGAATTGTAATTACTACTAAATTTGTTATAATATCGATTAAGAACGTAATCACAGAAAGGATAAGAGTTCTTAGTTTGATGGGGTACTGTACAACTGTTAATAGATGTAAGTAATGAAATCCAGATAAGACGATGTTTGATGATCCTAAGCGTCATTCAGCACTGAATTGCCACGACTGGACAATAACTGGGCGGCCCATCTTCTCTTTGGCTGTGTTTATTTACGTGAACATTTAAAAAAAGGACCAAAAGGCAAAAGACGAGTACATATTCATATGAGGACTTTGATAAATAGCTAGCCTTTATTGTTAATGTCGTAATTATTCGACTGCCTTATAATAAAAACAATTTTTTGTTTTTGTTCTATTAACTTGGACTTGAATTTACCTTTACCCATATCACAGTATAAGAATAGATTGCAACATAATAATCTGTTTTTCTTCGGTAAACAAAGATTCGTTTTAGGAGTGCCATTTTACGATTGAATTGATTCATTGAAATCTTGACCCAACAATTTTGCTCCGTGAAATTAATTATAACATACGTTGGCGCGCTTCTAAATGTCATCATCGCGCTGAACTTAGTCGACACCGTTTCAATTATGAATTTTGTAATTTTATATATCAAAACTTCCCATTTACTCCCCTACATTTTCAGTCGAGTTTATCGCTATGCGCATCGCTTTGAAAACTTCAATGTAAGAACACAAATTTATATGTAACATACTCAAACTCACTTTCTTCCATGGATGCTATAAAAGATGTTTCACTTAAAGATTGCTAGCCTGCTTCTTGAGCTAGTCATGTAAATATTCCCGATAATAATTCTGCGAGCAGTTGTCTCTTCGAACTGGGTTTCAGGTTGCATGAAAATTTTTAAACACCTGCGGACACAAGAAATGTCATCGTCATTTATATAAGAAAAGTCAAAAATTTTTATGAAATAAAACTTTGCCTAGGCATAGGATAATCGCTCGTAGTAAAATTTCTGTGAGTGACGCCATAATGCTCCCAAATTAATTCGATTACGTTTAGCACGTGCGAAACTCATTCATCCACTCTGCGGCTCTACGATGAAAGTGATAGCGTTCTTCACTTATTGAATTCCTTTTCTTTATTTATTGCATCCCTGGTCTTCTTAAGAGCTCGACAATTCTAATATAGTAAGTTTTACATACCTTTGATTGCAAGCCAACTTCTAACGTATTTGCATTTATTATATGGGTAATCCATACTAAAATCTATAAGGTCTATTGTGTTCGGCCATGCCCTTTCTTCATTTTACAATTCACGTGCATCCTGGCCATCTTCTTTGATTTGGAGCATCATACTGTGTCGCGCATTGCGATGTATTCGCCAAATACATGGTGCCCGGCTCCGCAAGCGACTGTACATTCACATAGAATGTGATGGAACGTTTTTCACGTCTTCGCAGCATAGGCATAAATCGCTTTTCAAGATTTATGACCTATGGAGAAGTTGGTGGCCAAGCTTAGGTTATTCCTTCGAAATTTCAAGGGTTTATGTCCTGTACAACACTGCACCTCCAATACGTTAAAATATCTAAACCCATTCAAAACTCTTAAACCTCTATCTAATTTCATCTAAAACTGCAGACGCTGTCTTTGTACATTCATATGCATATGCTTATATATAATAATTAACAATAAAAGCCTTCGAGTTACGGCCTCCGTTCTCTTCTGTTTAGTCTATCAATTAAACTCTCTACGCCATTGAAAAAAAGAGAAAACAAATATTACGTATATGCGCTTACGAGATAATTCGTACATAATTTTTTTAAACCAAGTATTTCTAGTATGTAATGCGCGGTAAGTTTCATACAAATATCTATTCTTTAAACTCGATATTTGATTGAGAGAATGCTTTTTCCCTAATTGATATACATATATAAACACTATAAATGAAGTATACAATGAATTATACATTATTTTAAGGCGAATTTCTTTTTTGTTATCAGACGTCTGAACAAATATTTACACGATTGTTGTTTCACTGCCAGACAATAATAACACAGATCTTTATTAATTTTTGCGTTATGGTTCAATAGTGCATACTTTCGGCCGCAGATAAGCTGCATAGCAGCTTAAGCGAAGAAGAAAAGAATAATACTACGATTAAAATAAGCGATAATTTGTCTTTTTATTCTAGATACTCAAGCAATTAATGATAACACATCGACAGAAAACTTTGTGTATAAAAAGCCTCGTTTTCTTATTATGCCCGCACAGTATCAAAAAATCCAGTAAACTTTTTAGAAAAAAAAAAAAAAAGGGGAAAGTATCAAAAATGAAATTGTTTGTAAGTTTTTATTCTTTTCACTCCGTCTCACTGAGATAATTAGTAATCTTTTTTTTGCAAAGATCTTTGCTTTCTTGAGTATGATTGCTGTGGCATTGTGCGTGCACACCGTCGGTGACGTTGGAGGTCAGGTACATCAAGGTGTACACCCAGGCGGACATCAAGGTGTGCATCAAGGTGTACATCAAGGTGTACATCAGGGTGTACATCAAGGTGGTCCAGTAGGCGGTGAGCCTCATGCTGCCGTCCATGGTAAACAGGGTAGTTTTGCCCAGCAACAAGCAACTCATGCCGGTGATCATAATTACTAAATTGACATATGTCTAATCTTTATTAGGGACTGTGATTATGTCCAAAGAACTGATATTCAATAATGTATAAAAGTATAAATAAAAATTAATACAAAATTTTCAAACTACTACTTAGTACGCTTAAAAATGCAGAATACATTTTCTTCGGTTACGTATCCATCGTTGGGAAGTCTGTATTTTCAAATCATAAAATGAGAAACTTTCTACATATTTCTTTACTTTATATAATTAAACTAAAATTTTTCCGACGAATATATCTTTTCTTCTTCGAAGTACATGCTGTGGTTTGAATAACAACAACTGCAATGACAGAGTACTTTTGACATAAGTTCTTTCGCTTCGATAATGTGATTTCAGATTTTGATATGAGAAATAGTTAGACTCAATCACATAACTTAAAATCGTTTGCACGACGGGACAACCAAGCAAGCAGCGTCAAATATTTTAAGCTCCTGAACTAATTTCTTTTTAATTTAACGCTAAGCTTGGAATTCTCAAGACTGTGAAGACCACTATTTACAACATCGTCTTCCTTTGGCAATTTTAATCATAAGATCAAGGCTCAGCGCTCATTACAATGTTTATTCATTTAAGTGCTTACGAATGTAAAGCAATGTAATAAAACAATATTAACAATGACATATTAAAGAGAATGCAGCTGCGTATTTCGCCAGAGACTTATGACAATTACCGTATTAGCTGCCTATCTTTCAGCAGAAGGTTATCATTAGTAAACATGCCTGAATTCACCGTAATATTTTATTTAACTTATGCATATAGAGTTTACAGCTAGATACAGCTAGCGTTGAACATATAGACTCTATGGCTTTGTATATTTGTGTATATGTATATGCATACATGTAACTCTAGTTATGTGTGTAAATGGAGCAAATACGTTACGTAAATATTTTGATATGCAATTTTTATAGAATGTTACAATTCCGGCAAGGCAATAGAACCGCCTTATAGAACCATAACTAATATGCTAAAGGATGTTAGAACAATAAGACTTGATGCGGGAATTTCAATAAGAAAACATGTAAAGCCAACCTGAACGTCATAAGCAAAGTTCTTATAACAAAAAGAAAACTAGTTCTTGACCCATCTATAACGTAATGATATTTGTAAGAAAAAATTTGAAAATCTTTTTTTAAAGTTTTGAGATTTTGATTTCACTAAAGGACCAAATTTTGTTCAATGCGAGTATACCAGAAGAGTCTGTTCTTTGATTCTCACTCTTCCTGATGTTCATTAAAGACTTCCTGTGCACAACGGGGAACGCTACCTATTCGTTTAAGGCTCTGGAAAGTTGAACAACATGAACAATATCTCTCTTCTGGTGGTTGTGGTTTAATGCAATATAAAACGATTTTCCTTGAACGGAACATATGTTCAAAGTGTTGAAAGACGCATTCAAACGCTTAAGCTTTTGAAAGCAGTGCAAAGAATACTTCACTGTAGCCAATGCACTGCTTACATCCACTAAAACTAAAGTGCAACTCGTACGCGTGGATGTCACCCTCCAAACTTTTCTTGGCGACCGTCGACGGTATGCAGTGAAAGGCGTATGTACCCAGAGCCGACGAAAGTGTGTCCAGGCACATTCAGGGTAGGTGTTTTGCGGAGATAAAAGAGATATTTCCACCAATTAAATCTTTTAATGGAAATTTTTCATTGTTCTCACCGCTGAGCTCGGGGAGAGGTTTTCCAGTTTTCCGCTCTGTTTTATAAAATTTGCATTTTTTTGGGCAAATCTCCCAGTAGGTCATCCCAGAATTTTGATAATGAATTTGGTACTCTATTAACTCGCTGTTATCACAAATCATTTCGATATTTGAAATTAGTGACTCAATGAAAATTTCGCCGAACACTGGTTCGTAAAAAGATGTATGGGAAAGTTAGATAACAAATGAGCAAGGAAAACTTTGTGTTGTAAATGATTGCTTTATAAAACATACATAAGAAGTATATATCGATAATGCTGACATTGGTGTTTATATGGTATAAGTTTTACTTTTTCATAAGCTGCCGATCAGTGTGTATCAAAGTATAACAAGATCGGTGTCGACAAGCAGTATTTGCGGGACTGCATAATTGCAGCCGGAGCTAATGAAATGGTTACATTTAAGTAGAATGAAACGTATTTGTTGATCCAGGGCAACCGTCCATATCTTTTGAAAAGCCCAATATTCGCGTCGAGGAAGGGCTATAATGTGTTTGATGCGATTGAAAAGGAACCATCTGTCACGAATTTCTAAAGTGTTGCATCCGAACGATAGCAAGCCAGATTAACTAAACTAAATGACGCGCTTGACGGAAAAACACAAAAAAGAAGTTACTGGTAAAGGAATTTAAAAGATGATTCCTTTTTTTTTATGACAAGGTCGGTCGACATACAGCAAAAGCAAATAGGGAACTGATCATTAACTTGTGGAGGGAACTTGTCTATATTGCGCCCTATTTGTCACACTCGCCACCTTCTGATTATCACTCCAGATTTGATCAAAAAGATTGTTGCTGGACATTTCGTGATATGGTTGCTACCATTAGAAGAGGCTACAAGGTTAATTACAGACCTCGATCAAGGGCAATCAAGTGAAGTGGAACGTGTTTGCAAGGCATTGGTAACTATCTCTCTCTCTCGCTTTATGTCTTTCTATGGCAATATGACCATATAGTAACAGCTTGAAGAGGCTGGAGGTATCATTTAATTTATTTTTTGTTGTAGCTCTATATGCCTTTGTAAATTCTGCAAAGTGTTCAAATATAATGGAAGGTACAACGAATTTTCGAGCTTTGGAATTAACTTATTCTTCATTTGTATTTATTGCGATCAGATTCTATGTACCGGCATATGTTGACGTGCTACTGTATTCTGAATACTTTGTTCGGATATTCTCAGGACTTGTTATTTTTCTTACAAATTCAGATCATAGAACCACATCTTCTGATAGAAGAAGTAAATTAATCTCTAATTTAAAAATTTACAATGGTATTGATCCCGGTGAACATAATTAATTAAGAGCTTGACAATTTTAAGTCACTACTAAGTTGCTTGCATGTTTGCCAATTTTAATTTAAAATAAGCTTACATGTTTACGTAATTAGATATTTATTTAATTTCGAATGAATTTATTAGCATCGCATATTATAAAAAAAAATTAGCTACAAATTGTTATTTGATCTAATAACCGTGCTTGCCGTAGCCACCTTGGTCAACTTGACCATGTCCGTGTCCATGTCCGTGTTTATGGGCGTGACTTTGAGCTAGACCAAATTGTTTGCCAAATCCTTGTTGTCCGAAAGGACGGCCCTGCTGTGTACCGAAAGTACCTTGTTGTTCAGCAAAAGGGCCTTGTTGCTGTGCAGTGAAGGGAACTTGTTGTTGTCCAGCGTAAACGCCCTGTTGTCCAACGAAGGGTACTTGTTGTCCAGCGAATGGGACTTGTTGTCCAACGAAGGGAACTTGTTGTCCAACGAAGGGGACTTGTTGTCCAGCGTAAACGCCCTGTTGTCCAACGAAGGGTACTTGTTGTCCAGCGAAGGGAACTTGCTGATCAACATAGCTACCTTGTTGTCCCGCGAAAGGTCCTTGTTGTCCAGCGTAAACTGCTTGTTGTGCCGCGTAAGCTGCTTGTTGTCCAGCGAAAGGTCCTTGTTGTCCAGTGAATGGCACTTGTTGTCCAACGAAAGGAACGTGTTGTACGGGGTAACCACCTTGAGATGCTTGTTGTCTGGCGTAAGCGGCTTGTTGTTGTGCAACGAGACTTGCCTGTTGTAAGCCATGTTTACCAAAAACGCCCTGCTGAGCAGCTAAGGGACCCTGTTGTCCGACAAGAACGCCTTGAGGAACAGTGAAATCATCCTGTTGTTCACCGAAGACATTTTGACCGACTGGAACACCAAAGGCGTTTTGGCTGGCGAAAGAGCTTTGAGGCCAAGTGTTTTGATCATAAGGACTGCCGAAGACGCTAGCAACATCAACACCAACTAAACTACCCTGTCCAAGGAGGCTGCTTTGAGGTACTTGACTGACACCTTTTTGTCCTTTGGGACGGTTAAAGGCACTGCCGTAATAACTTTGCTGGCCAACAGATGGCCCCTGACCTGCAGGACCAAACACGTCATCACTGGCCCCGTAGCCGGCAGGATACGCCATAGCTGCACCCAGCAAGGCAAAGCAAATAATCTTTAATAATAGAGTTTAAATTGTTTAATACCGGGATGAATTTACTAAATACAATTTCTAGAATTACCATAATTTGTTTCATTATTGAAAATTCCAGAGGGGTTTGCGTAGTTTATGTTGATGCTTGTGGCTTACGAAATTCGCACTGTTTAAAATCTTCGCTAATTAAATGTTTTTATATACTCTGAACGAGCGGATTTATTTATATGCTATGTGAGTATATTAAATAAAAAAAGATTAATTTTCCTTAGAACTCCTTATGCTTTTGAATGTTCATTGTTGTTTCTGTTTTTTTTTTGTTTCAACGAAAAACTAGAGCGAAAGTATTTTGGTTAAGCTTATCATACGATGAGTTCGTATTTTAATGGAAGGTTAAGTCCGCGCAATCAATATAAGCGTGAACGACAGAATGCGGGTTTAATAAGATTATCGTTCAGTTTGTAACGCTTAATATTAAGCGATCTAATAAATGTTCTTTTAGGCCAGAGGATGTATTCATACATTGTTTCCATTCATTTTATTTCATTTTAGGACTAACTTTGCTATTAGCTTGAAAGCGTTTTAAACAACATGAGCTCATTGTCGTTTCCTTAGACTTTTTTCAAAATTTTCCAAATTTTTGGCCCTATCAATGTACTAAAAATTTTGAATGCCTATTGAATGAAACCATAAATTAGATTTACCGAGTATAGTTTTCTTATGGTATTAAGAATACAATGTTTTCGCTTGGGTCATCATTCTGTGACCCCAATAAGTATAAATACAATAATAACATATATGATAATTGAAATATTTCAATATGTTGCTTATGTTAAAGATATGATAACACATGTGACACTTGGGTGGTGTTGTATAATAAATTTACTCAATGAAGAACACGCAAAAATTTTTTACACACAAATCTTAACTAATAATATTTTAGCAAAAAGAAGACGTCTAGCCTTTCGAGGTCAAATAAATGAAAATTGAAAATGTGTAATGAAGACTTAGATGGCTTATGTTATTCATTTGTTTGTTATAATTATCGCGACGGAATGTCCGCAAATACAATGAACTGTACACGTGCTTTTCAAAACTTATCTTTAAAAGACGGTGAACGCCTTTCTAGCTTTTACAAGCGACAATTTTGAAGCTACCACAATGGAAGCGTTAATGAATATCTTAAGAACCAAAGTTTTTTCAACTTTTAGCCATCCTTGAAAGATACATATGAGTGGGTGTAGTCAGCCAAGTACACAGTCAGTTAGATTATCAAAAGTTAAATTTCTGGCATTTCTTCTAAAGCGCTAGGTGCAATCGTGCTAATTCGAAACACAAATGCCTACGCTTGTTGGCAACAACGCATCATTGAACCACTTTAACGTTGAATATGGTATTCTTTAATATCAACCTAGTTTCCTTTACAAACTGTGGAGCTTGTTCTCGCTTCGCCCAGTATATTTCTTTTAGTCCATCATATCGCAATGACAGGAACTTTACATGCTCAACGCTTTTGAATACTTTTGGTATGGGAACAGCTTTAGCGGTATTTTTTCGTTTGTACAAACGAATCCTTTTTGGAGCAGATTCTTTCTCTGTATTTCGCCAATCTTTTAAGCACATATCGCAGTAGTTCATGCATTTTTCATCACTACTGAGAATGATCAAGCTTTTATCATTTCAGTTAGATTCGTGGAGAGAAACACCAGCCAATAACTCATTTTAAGCTCGAAGAAGTGGCTTTTTGAAGGCAGAATTTGCCCGATTGTTTTAAAGTTACTACTGTGATGAGTAAAGGGACTCTGGCAATTTCCTACTCTCATGAGCACTTTGGAAAAACATTATGCACCTTTCGAACCTTCCTCGTGTTCAATATATAATCTTCTCATCAACTGCTCGAATTTCTTCAAGGAAAGGCAAACAGTGTTGACCTTAAGCGCAGAATGATAATAAAAAACAAGGCTTTAGTCGAGCAAGCAATGTATTACTTCAATGTATCAAAAAAAGAAGTCCAGCACATTCCAACTCCGAACTATTAGAAAATTTCCTGTCGAGCCTCATTGCGAATTATGGTTGAATGTTTTTAGCAGAAGGCTTAATATTTTTTAGACCAATTTTAAATGATTAATTTCATGGGTTAAAACTATTATATTATTCTTTTTTTTGATATTTTTACTAAACGTATTAGTTTTATAATAGGGATAGCATAAGCATTAATTATTAAGGCGGATTTTCGATTTATTATATGTGTTACAAATTAATTTTTAAAACTTTAAAAACTAAAAAGTTTATTTTATTGCAATTTGCCTGCAAAAAAATTCAATTATTAATCCATTTTTTTTCTCCCTTCTTCCCCTTTTTTTTCTCTCATGGCATTATTTTCAGTTTTTCAACGCATACGTATCGCAACAATAACGCTATGTATACTGTGTAAATAACGCCTGATACGTATTACAAACGCATGGAATTTATAAGCTTGCCTTCGTTCCCTGATGCATACAAGGCATTGCGCTGCCGCTGTAACAGCAAAAACAACAACAATAGTATAACTATGGTAACAACAAGAAGAACGAACTACAGGCACATTGTTTATATTTGTTGGCTAATTAGTACCGGAGAAATTTTTTTCATAAATCATGCTAACTAAACTTAGCATTATATAGGTATTTGTGGAATGCATGTGCGTAGGTAGATGCTGCTTGTTGCTTGCGTGCATATAAGTAACATATTGAGGAATGCTTTTACATTTTCCTGTCTTTCCTTTCAAACCAGAACTTTGGCATTCTCAAAACATGAAAATAGGAAAATGTTTGTATACACACTTTGTATTTCGAATATTCATAAGAAAATATAACATATATATGAACGCAGGTATGCTCATCCAAGTTATGTGTTTATGGAAGTGGGCTTTGACCGACCACATTGGGTCGCATAAGTATCAAGTCCTTTTGTTTTTAATTTAAGCTGATTTATTGATATAATGCTACTAAAAACAAAAAGTTAATTACATAAGAAAGCCATTAAGCTTTTTAGTTGCATTGCATATTATGTAGGTTAATCGATTTTCACGTCTGAGTATTACATGAGCCGTTTAGCGTACAAATTTGAGGCAGTTGTGATAACACTTTCGACGGTTTTAAAGCTGATTCATTTGACTCAGTTGATTCATTTCTCTATCTCTTAAGAGTAGTGTACTTTATGTGGGATCCCATTAGGAATATAGACCTAATTCTCTTTCTACACGAATTTTTTAACACGAAATTCGGATTAACCCTAGTTAAAGAGAAACAAGGATTTTCTTTTCACAAGAGTTTTTTTATTTAGGACGACTTTCAATATGCAATGAATTTTTTAAATAAACTTTTTTTTATGTTTCCATGAATTTTTTCATTCTCACTCCTCACAAATATGTTTTGTAACCTACACTTAAGCGAGCTTTGTCGAAAAATTTTGAAAATTAACATTTTTTTCGTATGACATTTTGAAATTGCATGGGGACTGGCCGACAAAGTGGACCGACCCGACTCATTTTAGGATTACTTCTTGGGTCAAAACACGCCAATGTACCAAATTTCATCAAAATAGCTTAAAAATTGTGACCTGCAGGATGTACGCAAATTTAGAGGTACGCACATCAGACAGACAGAAGGACAGACAGGTAAAGATCGATTCAGCAAATGATTCTGAAAAACAGTGAGACTCTCTTAAGCTTTTCTGGATGTTACATACATCTTTTCAAATTTATTACCACAAGTAACGCAGGGTAAATTTCGATACAAATGGGTTTAAAATTTCTGATAGGCATACATTGCTATCCAACTGTGTTTGGAACATCAAATTTTTGTGATCGTTTCTAGTTTTTCCATGCCGATTAGCATCTTTTTGTGCAATTTTTAATTAATTAAAAAAAAAAAAAATGAAAAAAACAAAATTGGTTTTCGAAATATCTAAAAAGTTTTATATTTCGCTTAAATAATTTTCTTATTTACAAAATATCTTAATTCGAATTGGTTACAAGAGAGTTTTTAAGTGTTAAGTAAATACAACATAATATAAAGGCAAGTAAAATAAATATCCTACATATTTGGAAAATATTTGCTAAATAACTGAACTAAAAAACGAAAATAGATAAAATATGAAAAAATAGTAATAAATATTTTTTTGTTTTTTGTTTTAAAAATAAGTAAGTAAAGAAGAATATTGTTTATTTTACTTTTTTTATTTTATTGTACGTTGAAATTTTTATATAAAGAGTTGAAAAAAAGTAACAAAAAATGTTTAATGGAAATAAAAATAAAATATTTATTACAAATTGATATTTGTGTACGTATATATATATGTACATGTGCAAAGCAATTAAAACCAAATATCAATAAATTTGCGATTGATAGAAAAATGAAATATAGGTTATTAAGCCATATTTACGATTTCAATGTATAAAATAAAGAAAATGCAAAAATATATCTATCTGCCATAAGCGTTCACCTCAACCAAACAATGTGTATATTTTGTATTCCGAGCTGGTTTTTTTCTATTGAATTATGCTACTTTTTTTTTTACTGTTAAACAAATTTATTGTTAAATATTTTACGTTTACAAGTTCAACAGCAAAATATTGCAAATAACCGCATTTATTTATTGCTTTGCCATAAACGCAAGATTTGTTACAATTAGTTGGGAAATGGAATCAATCAACTATGAGGGCTGTGCAGGTTTTTAGCAAATAATGTGTACATATATATATCGTACATATATATGCGATTTGTCAAATGTTTTAAAAAATATCAAAGACTTGCCGTCTCTTTCTACACACCGAAAATCCCCAAAGTGCGACGGCTAGAGTCACAAGTTCCGTTTGGTTCCTTACTTAGCTTTAAGTTATTTCGTGGTATTCTTGCCTTGTTGCGTTCTACCTTAGTATGTAAGATAGCGTTGAACTATGGCATGCAATTAGGAGGACTCTAAGATTCAAAGTCGTACCAGATCGTTATTGAACCGATTAAGGTCAAGTAGGGATTAAAAGGAAATGGCAATTGCTCATCTGGCCGTCATGGAATAAAGATGTAAGTCCGTATCCGTATTATTTTTTTTCACATATATAGGAGAATAGCTTTTAGTTGCTGAATTACGGGGAAGAGACCCTACGGGTAGACTAAAACGTTCGGCTATGTGGATAAATCGTCTAGCTCTCGGACACATTTGTTTTATGTAAAATCTGTACTTAGAACCATAGAGCTTAAGTCGCAATAATGTCGAATTAACGTGGTCGTCTATAAGTTAAGCATAATCTGCGTGTGGTTTTCCTCTGGTTGTGAAGGCAAGGTTGGAAAATTGAAGCAAAGCCTCTTAAGTGAATTTTTAGAATGTACTGATGAGCTTGCGTTTGGCATTAGAAAGCGTACAATCACTTTTGGAATTCACCACAAAGGTTTCTATTTCTTAGAGGGCTGATCTCTTTGTTACAAGTAAAACGACCTTTGCTTCTGTAGAGAAAAAATAGTTTCTCATACTTTGTTAACATTTTGATCATCATTGCAACCTTGAGGATTGTGGCAATTGTTATTAGTACACATGTTGTTAAACTGGGAGTAGATCTTCATTTAAAATGCGTTCACCATTATAGGCGAGATTTGCCACCTTTTCTCAGAATATTGTGTATTTGGACAAAGATTTATTACTTATTTATTTATTTTCGTATATACAAATACAAATAGAAATTGTCAGCCAATACTCAGTTAAAACTAAGCAATATGTAAAATATAAAAAGGAAAATATTAAGGCGGATGACGTTGCAACAATATGCGATTAGAATTCCCTATTTCTTGTGAGACTTTGGCATGGTTTTATTTAAGACTGCCAGATTTTTCGCAAGAAAGGGAATGCAAGGAAATACGCTTTACAGACTCCACAATGCGTGTGCACTCTTGATCGGAGTGAGTAAACGAATCGATTTTAGTATTTCGGTCGGTCCATCCTTTCGAATCACAATTACTAACTTTATGTATAGGAGCATAAGGTGCGTTCCAAACATTATCTTGTTACTCTCACCGCATTACTTTCGGATATTAGCGGATTCAGAGATCTGGGCTTAAGTTTGTAAGTGTCAAAGCAAACGAGACGAACAAGCGGACAAGCAGGTTTAAATCGATTCAGCAAGTTACCTGCAATCGGTCGGTATAATAAATGGTGGGAATATTTCAAGTCCTTCTTAGTTTTGCACACATCCGACCTAACTTTTTTACTTTAAAGGCTAACGGAATACACTTAACACACGAGCCACTTTAAAATCGCTTCAAGATACATGTGCCTTTAGTCTGCAATAACCTTCACATTTCTAATAATATAGTATAACGTCATATTTGATTATTATATAAATCGATGTTGGATTGCTTCCCATTACGCAGCGGTAGTAACTATTCACATAATTAGGTGATTAAGGGAAGTTTAGGAACCGATTTCAAAGAACAGAAAAACTTTGAATAATCTACCGCGGGGGAGTTCTGACGAATTATGAGTGTTTGGCATGAAATATTGTTGAAGTCTACAGTTATCTTCATTTCGCTTTTTGGGTTTACACTTGAAAAACTTTTTTGTTCTTGCATAACTTGGAAAAATGCTATTTTATTGCTTATTTACCATAATTTACTTCGCTAACAGCGCAACACAACCCGAGATTGTGGCATCGTTTCAGTTTATAATGCAACTTGAGTAATATGCAATAAAACAAGCAAATCACTACCACTACAACAAGATAAGCATACGTACGATGCTTAAGCTCATTATAAAAGCTGAATGTTATTGCAAACATATGTATTTCATTATTGTTATTATTTTTTTTTTTATCACGTAAAGGGATAAATGAAAAGTGAGAAATATTTTATAATTTTTTTACAAATAATTGAAATACTTATGAAATATGGTATATTTCATTGAATATTCAAGATACGATAATTATGATGTTATCTGTGGATAAAATACTTTAAATAGTTGAAATGATTTCATTTCGTTAAATTTATAATTTTATATTCAATTGAAATACATTTTAAATGATTGTAGTTGAAATTACTGGGAGGAAAAGATGTTTTTAAATGCACAAACAACTTAAAATGGTTCACTATTACATGTAATGCAAAATGTAATAGAAAATTACAAAACAAAACAAGTAAAGGTACTCTAATGGGCAACGGCCAATCATTAAAAACCCTACAACATCCTACAAAGGTTTATGTAACGACTTTTCAAAATGAGTCGTTATATGGGAAGCGGTAAAAAGTTGTCCAATCTACACCAATTTCAATAGTGTTTGTATTACTAAATTTCATCAAAGTATGTCAAAAATTGAGGCCTATACCCGCCTATAGATGGATAGATGAGCTCCTTTACTATAGTGCAGAGAGTGGTTGCGGAGCGATCGGTATAAATAAAAGATGTGTCTATCTCAATTCCTTCAAGGTGCTGCGTACATTCGCACAAACTTAATGCACAATAGTGGTGTAGGGTGTAAACTTGTTTATGACTTGGGATGTCTGATGGACATAAAGCCATTAATAATATCTTGTTTCCTCGGTGGTGAAAGAAAAATTGTTAGACCGTACACACCTCTGCCTGCCTTAACTGGTACAGCAAGAGGAGGGATACACCAATCGGCAAACGTTTCTTTTTAATCTCATTCGGAGTAGAATTAGTTAACTTTGAACTAAATACTCCTTCCTATCCTTAACAGTCGCCATGTTACAAAACACTATACTTAGATCAGATTAATAAAAATCCGTTATATTTAGTTAGGTGAGCGTAAATTACAATGTAGTAATATTTAGTGTGCATGAGTGAGTTGCTACAAATCAATGCGAACAGCCCTGATCATATGATTGAATATGGTACATTTACCGTAGCTTCTGCAAATATATTTAGAATAGCGGAAGACATGAGTTGATTGTTCTTAAAGTATCATAACAGCACCATACAAGTCTACATGCCTACAAGTCATACCGCCGTCAAGCTATAAAAAGACCAGAATTAAATATACTCTAAAGAGATGGCAACTGATGACGATAGATTTCTGGAAGTACAGGTAGGGAAAGGGAAATGGTTGCTCTTAGTGTGCATTTAATTCGCAGGAAGATGAATGCAACATTGATCCAATATTTTACATATTATCTCGATTAAACTCTCTGGGCTTCTTCTTTTCTCAAGAAGTAAGCAAGTAAATTGCACCCATACCATCTTGCGTTTTGATTTTTTCGAATTTTTTCTGCCAGGCGTAGGGAAACTTTTGACAAAAAGAAGTCATTAGGATTTTCTTGCTTTCTGCAGCGCACATTACAGATAGCCTTAACGGTTTCCACACGTCTCTAGTAAAAAAGTTGGGAATGGGCTTTTTTGAGGTCGCTCTATGGAAAAACGAATGCAAGCATTGTGTAGGTCAATCTAAAATAGAAGATGCATTTATTGAGAAACCTTTAACATTCTGAATTGCAGAAATATATACGTTTCTCTGGTTAGTTGTAGTAAATACTTTGAAAACAACAACAGCATTTATATTTCCTTTAAGGTTTTTCTTGATTCAGCTTAAAATTTCTAATTAATCAAAGTGTAGTTGGTGTCCAAAGGTTAGAAACAAACGGAAATCTCGAAGTAACCTACGCTGATCTTCAACGGCGACATCAGTTGGACATGAGTTGACTAACGAAAGATCCTCAACTCATTTAGACAATCAGAATTTCGAATCTCATTTATGCATTGGATTGCTAACAAGGAAAATATATCGTTTTAAGCAAGCTAACGTAGTTGATCGATCGATCTTGAGAAAACTTTATCGAGTTAATTGGCATTGTATTAAAAGGGTCCTCGGATTGAAGTAGTAGAGAATTAATGAACGCAATATGAGAAAGAAGTACCACATTACTTAAGTTCTCATTTGCGTAGTTTAACTGTAAAATAAAGAAATTTGGGTTTACTGCAAGAACCTATAAAATGATGAGGAAATTGAAGGCGCCAATGCTGCTTCAAAAAAGCAGAAAAGGTAAAAATTAATTAATTTTAGGAGGAACAGCAGAATATTATTGGGTGGATACAATCCGAATACCAAGTATAATAAATAATTTATACGAATTCCAATTTAAGACCAGCAGTAACAGAAATGCACAGTTAACTTTTTGTTTCACCTATCACTTACTAGCTCCTTAATAATTTCAAATAATCTAATGTCGAGTTTGGAGTTGGTGTAGAAATAAGAAATAGGCACCACATACAAAAAGAAGCAATAACAGTTCCTTAAAGTTAATTAAGGCTTTTGATAAATAGTAATTAAAATAGTATTAGATATTACTTATTGGGGAAGAGAGGTAGAAGAAAATGCTCCAAAGCCTTAGCAACAGCATTGTCTGCATCTCATTCTTTTTCTTTCTATCTGTTATTAATTAATTATTCATTTGATGTATTTCGTTAGGCAAGAGTTGCTCGCGTCTGAAACAAGACGTAAACCTCATAATTACGAAATGAAATTGTTGTTAGCTATGAAATTAGTACTAAGCTGATTGAAAAGGTTAGATTTGTGTTTTTTGAGGTAAACATTTGCAATCGATGCTATTTAGCAAAAGTGAGTTGTTTTTTTGACCTGTAGTTGCTTTTGAAACAAAGAAACTCAGGTGCATTCCGTACAACTACTTAGGTAGGTGGATAACGGGGATAAATATTGAAAGTTCTGTACACGTTCATACACTTGCTTGTCAATGCTTTGTCATGTATGGATTGGTTGGTTGATTGGTTGGTTTGTAATATTACTTACCGTTGTAAGCAATTTTCACGTCCTGTCAGTGCCAATTTAACAATATCCGCAAACACAGGAATTACAACCCAATCATTTGGTTTCATTGTTGTTGTTGTTGTTGTTGTTGTTGCTGCTGCTGCTGTTGCTGCCGTTATATTGATAGGGTCTGCCGTTGAAATTTTCTGTGATGACTTTGTTGCTGTTAAGGTTATTGCTGTTTTAGTATGTGATGTATGACTATGCGATGAGTTTGGCAATGACGATACTGTTGATGATGTTCCTAAAGTTGTTGTTGTTGTGTTTGTTGATGTTTTGAGTGCCAGTGATGTTGCCGTTGCTGTTATTGTTGGAGTTGTTAAATTTGATAAAATTTCTTTACCATGTTTTCTACTACTGCCACTACTACTACTACCACCACAAACACCACCGGCGCCTCCGCCACATGACGATGTTATGCTACTTTTGCTATCACTGGCTTTCAATATTGTGTCATCTGTTCTGGCCGTTGAAAGTTTGTGTAATGTTGCTGTTGCTATTGTCGGTGATGTTGACGTTGACGATGAAGTGGTAGTTTCTAACGTTCCTATTCTGGATAAGGGTAGTGAAACGGCTGCTGAAACGCGTGAACTTGTCGAATTTATTCGAGAAGCCGCATTCAACACTGTTGGAGATTCCGTTTTAACTTCCGTTGTTGTGGTGGCTGAGGTACTTGTTAAAGCTGTTGCATTCGCTGTTGTCGGTGACTTTGGTAATACGACCGAGGCATTACCAGTTAGCATCGGTATTTCAGTCTTTTGCTTTTTTCCTGGTTGTTGTAGTTGTAGTTGCAGCTGTTCATGCTGCCGTTGACGATGCTGCTGATAATGATGATTTTCATTTAAAACGATTGCCTGTTTATGCCATAGATTCCCATGCCCCTCGGCATGACGTTGCATACAATCTAATTGCTGACAAGTCACTTGCAATTTACTCCACTGTCAATACATGAATGCGTTCGTGCGCGTATGTATAAATAATGTTTAAGCCACCGTCATCAGTAAATTATATCGTATTCATAGAAATTTTAAGAGAAATTAAATAAAATCGAATAATATATAGCGAATATATTCAATAAGCAAAATTTTTGTTGGGGCGAGGTAAACATGTATAAATGTGTTCAAAAACAATTGATTTTAATTATGCGCACGAAAAGTAGTAAGCAAAATTTTTTTAACGCGAGATGTGTTTATTAATAAATATATTAATTTCATTATTAAACTTCATTTCATTGTTCGCCTTAAATGGAATATAGTGAAACTACTTTTACTGTTATAAAAAGATATTTATCAAGATCTGCAATGTCGATGGTTCGATACCCTTATGAGTCATTTCAATAAACAATACATATAGTGTGTAGTCAGTATTTTTTTGCGCTTTCAAAAAATCTATATTTATATTGTTTAAGGTTTGCTGTATAAAATTCTGCTTAACCATATATGTTGCTATTATAAAAACAAACTGCAAACAGCATCTCTTTAAAAATATAAAGTCATTGTAAAATCATACCTGGGTTTTCCTTTTTCGTACATGACGAAAGAAAATGTTTTGAGAAAGAAAATGGTATGTGAGCCAATCATTAAAATACCTTAGGAACATGCCGTGGCTTTTTATTCTCGCCGTAACATATATTTCACGTTCCTTTATGTGGAAAGGCACTTTCAACGTAAGTCAACTCGGTCCAAATTTGCTAAATTTACTTTCTCTTCTTGATGTTATTTTTATAAGAATCAGTGCATGGGAAGCTGTCCAAAGAGTAAAATTTTAGCCAAATAGTTTGGAGATCTCATACGGCTTTAAGGTACAGCAGAAAAAACAAAATTTTTTTTTAGACAATTTCTTTGGCATAGAAGGAAAACTTCTTTATATAATGATAATATAATACGCCCGGTTGTTGAGCATATTTTAAGTATAATTTAAAAGGTTTCTGTGGGGTAGAATGGGATCGCAGAAAAGAAACGCAAAAGAAATTCTGAATTAAATATAAATTATTTTTGAAAAACACTAAAAAAAAGACTTTGACTCAAACGTGAAGAATCACAGAAGAAAATAGCTTTAAAGGCATTAATAGACAAATTGCGCGCCAGAATCTCGCAATGCTACTAATTTTTAGGAAAGAGAATGATGACGTCATATTTTCTATAGACAATATTCACGCAAGATATCATTTCATATTCTGCATCCGTTATCGTAGTTTCTCTAATTTTCTTCATCATCATACCGTAATTTTTTTTGTTCTTCCTGCGAGAAAATGTTATTTTGTTTTGCTTTTATCATATTTTAGCTGAACTTTGTTATGACTGCTATTAATTTTGATAGTTATTTTATGGTTATTCAAAAAAATATTGCGATTTGATAAACTTCCTATTTGTATAGTTATTATAATGTGCAAACATTATATTCTCCATAAAGATTTTTATACCAAAAATTAACATAATATATACGAAATCGTTATTTTATCATAATTATGTACTATTATTAATTTTTTCATAATTATGTTTGGTATCTTTTCACTAAACTTATATTTCTACTTGTTCTAATTCACTTAACTAAGCGAGAGGGCAAAGAATATTTTACCTAGAATCCATAAATTCTACAGGTTATATACGTGAAAATTCTTTGCTTAGTGAAAAACGCTTTTTTTATAAAAATTGTTGCTTTTGTTGAGCTTTGGTTAATTTCACTGCAACCAGTTTAATTTTTTCGAATGCAATGCGAATGCTGTTAGACAAGATATTTTTCATCTCAATTGAGCGAATACGGCATAGTACCTTTTTCCACTCTCCTTCAGATCCTCAGTTAAGATCTCGTGAACTTCTTCAATTGATCCGTTCCAAATAGCTTTAAAGAAATCCAAGAGCTAAGCAATTGCCTATACAAACTAGATCGTAGATATAATGAATCATTTCCGGACCGAGAGCACCTCATGGGCATCCTGAACGTGGACCGTCATAAACGCCCGCGGGATCAGAATTTTTACACCTTACGTCACTTGTAGTACAAGAGTATACTAAGTTTGTGCGGACTTGAGGCAGACTCATCGTATACCGATCGATTCAGAATAACTTTCTGAATTAGAAAAACTTTCTAAATATAAAAAAGGTTGTCTCTCTGTCTGTTCGTCTCGTTTTCTTATATTCACCATACCGGATAATTGGCAAGTCTCGGAAAACAACGCTATTTATGCTCAAGCACAATAACAAACCGAACCATTTTCTGAATATATGACTGGAAATCTACTGAGCATCGGTCTATGTGTTCAAAAAATTTATATTTAAAGTAGAGATGGTATCGATCTTGATTTTCTATTTTTCGGAAACCAATCGCTCAAAAAATAAACATAAATTAAAATCGTGACGGCATGGTTTAAAGGAAAAGTCATTTAAAGTGTCAAGTTTCAATTTCGAAAAAATTGAACTAATTTAAAAAAAAAATCAACTAATTTACATCTTAAGCTATTGTTCGAGCTTGCTCTTCTTTAGTAAGCAAAAATAAATTTCAATTTAATTTAACAAAACATTTTGTAATTTTTTCTTTTCTAACGTAGACGTAATCAATGTTCTCGATATCAATTTAAAGAGAAAAAATCATTTTTCGATTTAATTTCCGTACTTTATGTTTCCCATGATCATTGTCATTATTGCTTAAGGGCTTTTTATATGTAAGACCGAATGATTTGTAATACAAAACCTTTGTTATTTGACTTATTTTTTCTCTTTTCATTGCTATATATTTTTGCAATCTCTTTATCATATACTTTTTTGTTTTACATCATTTAATTTTTAGTTTTTCTCTTATTGCTGGTCTTCACAGGCTATTTGCTACGTTCAGTGCAGTTGGCATATTATGTTTGTAATATTGGTAGAGAAATGTATTCAATTTCTCATACGTTGTTTGATTGTAAAGAAATGGTAACCTATTTGGAAATAAATCTAGTGTCTTGCTTTTGAAATTAAATTAAAAAAATCAGCTCAAAATTTAACAATCGGTTCATGGGTCTCTCTACACTTGGACCGAAAGCAGTGATCCTTCTTCGTCTTAGCTTACGATTTAAGCCTACGTGTAGACCAGCGCTTAAATGGAGCAAGAGTTCCCTCACAACGAATAAAAAAGAAGACCGTTCCAAGTTTCAATAAAAACTCAGATTCCTTACACGATTTCCCGTTTTCCAATAAGGGCCCACTTTACATCAGCATCTAACAGACGTTTCAGAATTTATGAACACCTGATATATTTTTATTTATACATTCAGCTACATACAAAAATGTATCAGCCAATGCAACGATACCTTAGAAACAAAATAAACATCAAAGTATGGTAAGGAGGATAAGTAATATATATATTACTCCAGACCACAACGAATCGGTTCATAGAATTATGAAGAAAAATTACCTAAAAATAGTTCGATAAGCTGAAAGAGGAATACATGTATTACCAGCAAGAGGGGAGTAAGGATGCTAACTCCGTATCCGTAAAACAGCAGCCCCGACGACATGTATCGTATCCAGTGGCTGATCAAACGAATAAAGATTAATAATACGCATCACACAAAGCATTGCGAAAGAGAATTGGTTTGCGTGTGCCATCGTACGAACTTATTTGATGTTGTGTTATATAATTAGGTATACAATAGATATACAGTAACATGTGTATGTGCACGTTCCTTCTTTTTTTAAGCTCGTTCTGATGAGATTTGAGTTTGCGCGTCTGTCTGTCATTAGTTGTGTGAACGTGAAACCGTGCAACTTGATACGGTTGTACATAAAGTAAGTGATAGAAAAAAGAGAGCAGTATTCGGAGGGTACCAAAAAGTTGGTGTGCTTTGTCTAGCCTACTACACGCTTATTAAAGAATATATTAAATTTAAATGTTGCCGATAGAGGGTATCTAACTTTCGCTTTGATATGAAAATTACTTTTTTATGTACTTCTTGTTTTCTCACATTCGCAGGATACAGTTTTGCTCATCAACTTTATGACCGGATATTTAAGCAGCTGTCCGTTTGTCATTTTATTTGTTTGTTTAGCTGTGAACGTGTCTGTAGTCCTCTTTGTAAGTTTTATTCATAAGTTGTTCATTTATGTTCGTTTGCCTGCGCTGTTAGTTTTTAAAGTTATCGTTATTAGCTTCAATCCAGCCTCAAATGTCAAGCTTATATACATACACTCTCAGGCACGTATAGTTTTTAGATTAATATGAATAATTTTTCTTTTAACTTTATCAACTCTTTAATAAAGAACTCTTGCGACTAGCTAATAAGTTCATGCACGTTAAAGCGATGAGAATAAATAAGGAAAAAAAGAAAAGAAAATATTATGGAAAATTTGTCTACGACAAGAAAAGATCTTATTTTTCATATAAAACTTGCAAACGCTTTAAAAATTAACTTCATAAACATATGTTTGTACTCTTTAATGTCGATAATCAAGGGTTTGAAGAATGACAGAAATTCCTTATTCCTTGTTGTACTTTATCTAATATACTGTGATTAGTTAGCTGATTTCCGCTACCAGTTTCCTCATTAGTTTGCACAGCATCGAAGGTAAAAAGTTTTATATTTGCATGCACGGACTTTGAATCACGTATAACCTCTAGCGTGTAAAGTTAAATTTGTTCAGATGCTATTTGTTTAAATAAGTTAGTACAGTAGTTAGTTGGCTTAGAGAGTGATAGGAGGAGAGTGAGAGAGAAAGACTTTGCTTCTCTTCGGACAAAGTCAAAATCATTGCAAATCGTAAAAAATCTAATATTTTGTATATATAGTAAAGTTAATATTTTATTTTCTCTGCTTATTGTTGTGTGTTTCCAACTCTGCTTCAATTAGAGTTGATTTAATTAAAACTTAAAAATGTTAAGAGAATAGAAAAACTTTTTACACTATATATTTACAGTTTTGTAGTTTTGTTTGTTTACGTTATTGTTAGCGTTATGGTAGCTA